TTCTTCAGCCCCTATTCTTGATAAGACGGGTTTGGTTGCCGAATGATTTAACCAAAAGTTCTGTCATCGAGTCAACTGGCGTTGTTTTGATTCCTCGCTTGTACCTGACAAGGAGTAGGCTCGTCTGTCCAACCTTGTGAGGTTTCTCCAGGCCCCGAGTCCACAAAGCATTCTCAGACTTAAGTTAGGAATTTACTCAACTTTCAATCACTGTTTATGAGAAATATCTTTGATCCAGAAACACAAGACTTTGCACATAGTTTCTTATTGGTGTATTTGATACATTAAAACAACACAGGTTTTATAAAGGGCTATATTTTAGTTGAAATAAGGTCAACAATATTGAGTAAATTCTTAACTTAAGTCCGAGAATGCTTTGTGAACTTGGGGCCAGGTCCTAAAGTTTTCTCCCATGTCTAATTATAAAGACCCCTTCACGCACATGAATCATTGAAATAAAAAAATTCAACCATATGTTGGTCCCGAAATGACCTAGTTTCTGTCGAGTGGATGTTAAACCCCATTTCTCTTTCTCTCTCTGGATGAATTAAGTCACACTAATCCGCAGTGAATATTCGCTAGGCCGCGATAATCACTGATCAGGATGACATCGATGCGACTTAATGAGCCACAAATATTAACTTTTTTCCTCCGACAAATTAAATTCTTAAACATTTTTTTTTATGTATTAGAAAAATAAATAAAGATGTTTGAAGTATTTTGTAGGTAAAAATTATTTCCTATTTTAGTGTAAATGGGTATAAAAATGAGTAAAAGGCCCCATTCTGCTCGAATCAGTAACTTCTTATGTAAACAATGCACATGCCATTGAGCCAATGATTGACGCTGCGCGATATGACGTCATGTGTTGAAGACAGTCATCTTTTACAGAGATATTAGAATACTTTTGTAATAATCTGTGAAACAGATTGGAATTAGGTCTGTGGAGTTGATTGATGTGTTTAAACTGTACATTTGGCACATGTTAATATATAACTGTATCACTATGTTTATTGTTAGAAGATGTGTAATATTTATTTAGTCTATTAGTGATTAATGTTGTAAGATACAGGTGTCTTATATCACCTGGTATCTATCTATCTATATTATACCTGAATGATTTATACATCTCTTAATATAAGATGTAGTCATATCTCTACACGCTCGATAGGTTTAAATTACATTATCATTTATCACACCAGATTTTCTCAATCATTCTTAGTGGTTAACCAAATAAAGTCGACTGTAGTTTAGAAACAAATGAAATAGTGTGTACTTTTCTGCTCCATCAGGGTTAATGAAGATGGGCACACGCCATACACAGTGTGCTATGAGGGGAACTTTGCCAGGACAATGCCACTACGGTCTACTTTTATTTCCAATTCCAACTATTCTGCCAATATGTACAAGAGATCTTGGTTTTTTGTCTCATCTGATCAACTAGACCCTGTTCTATGCCAGGCCCCCGGCTGTGGTTGAAGCTATCATTAATTGAACGCAATTGCCAGACAACACAAAATTAACATGGGTTGTAGGATGTTAATCAATGTATATCTTTTCTCTAATTTGAAGGGGTAGTTGTTTGGATGGAACACAAAACTGAGGTCTTGTGCATGTAAAAGACCCCTTGTCAGTTGGAATTCGATATAAGAGTATAGGCTGTAGCACTGTTGTCCAGACATAATTTCCTTCATAGCACACTGTATAGTACGTACATAACCGTCTTCATTAGAAGAGTCCGAACAGAGAAGTTGGACTTGAAACCTCCAGTGCATTTCATTTCATTAGAAGGGGGAGCCACGTACGGTACCAATTCACATGGAATGAAAAAAACAAAGTCTGGTGTATATTTTCCTTTCATAATTCTACTATCAGGGTCACACATTTGTTTATGTATCATGTGCTCCGAGTACAGAAAGTGGTACCAGTTGATAAACCATGCTTTCTAATGGTCATAGAAGCGTTTTTAACCCTTAACCGGTCGACGTCATTTTGACTTTATGACGTCAAGTGGTCAGGCTAAATAAAGGCTGACGTGAAATATTTTGTATGCCTATTTCAATCGACTACTGCCGAATAATTATAAGTGATATACTCTTGACACAAATAAAAAAGTTGCTGGGGATAAGTTGATCTATAATTTGCAAATCATTCTAAATTCTTTTCATCAGAAATATCGTCTTCAGAATCGGTATCATCGATATAATCCGATTCGGAATAATTCCTAAGTATTTCAACCACTTCGAGCGTCTTTAACGTTCCCGACACCGTTAAATTACGTTTTTCGTCAAAAAATGTTGAACAAAGACATGTTTTTCTCAATGCCCTTGACAAGACAAGTTCCTGTCTGACACGCATGCGTGGCCATATCAATTAAATAAGAAACTAAATACTCAAATGCAGCTTATAAAAAAAGGTTCTTGCTGTGGTCGACTATAGTCGACCGTGACCACTTAGCTGTATAACATTGTGGTGACTATAGTCGACAATGACCGGTTAAGGGTTAATGGACACATTCAAGGCAGAGATCTATTAACAAATTAACACCAGTTAATGATAAGCCACACCCGAAAATTATATTAAAAAGCCATTTTAATTGACGGCATTCAGAAAAAAATTCTTTTACTTTTATCAAAGTAGTAGTTCTCTTTGTACAGAATGATTTTAGAAGTGTTTTTAACGGACGATGCTGCGATTCAGGAAAAAGAACTTTTAACAAAAAAGATAAAGTTTTCTTTGTACAGAGAATGATTTTAGAAGTGTTTTAAAATGGACGCTGCAAGTCAGGTCAAAGATATATTATGAATATGGATAATTCTCAATGCACAGTTTTTAATGGATGCTGCGATTCAAGCCAAAGATCTATTATGAATGTAGATATGCTATATTGGTTGCCAGGATCGACAAAGGGGACCTACCCACCAATACAGTTCTATCATTTAATTTTTAAAATGAATAAATTAAATTTTCAAAAAATATGTAAATAGAAATAAAAAGATGTAATTAGAATTTTCCAGATTTTGTTTTCTATATATTTCTTGATAATTTATATTTTAAATATATTGTCTAATGTCTAAGGAGGTCCCAGTAGGACGTTAAACCCCATTTCATTTCATTTCATTTCTAAGGAGGTCCCTCATCCTCAGGGGCCCACTTGCCATTGGGCAAGTTGATAACCTGGCCAGTTCGCCACTGATCATTAACCTAAGATAACGGCTTATTGTCATTTTGTTTCCGTCTTCATTTTACCCCATTCAGGGGGGTTGGATGGCTGAATGGTTAGCGTGCGCGCGCTGTATCATAAAATCTGTCATTGAGTCGACTGGCGTGGTTTCGAATCCCCGGTTGTACGTGACAAGGAGTAGGGTCGCCTGTCCAACCTCGTGGGTTTTCTCCGGGTCCTCCGGTTTCCTCCCACTGCTAAAGACCCCTACGCGCAAGCGAATTATTGAAATAAAATTAAACCATATGTTAGTCCCGAAATGACCTAGTTTGCGTCGAGTGGACGTTAAACCCCATTTCTCTCTCTGTCTATACCCCATTCAGTGCAGAAAGGTATAATTTGATTTGATTTCATATTTTGTTAACATAGTACATGTACATAGAGATGATGGATTATATATACCTTCCAAGGAGTTATGATATCTTAATTAATTCTTAATTAATCCTTAATCAATATCTTTGATATCCATTTGGTAATGTTATTATTGTTCTTTTTATTAGCCCTTTGATGGTTTCAGATTAGTTACTGTTTTTGTTACCTTGTTGTATATAATTTGATTTCTTGCTATTATACTGTCATTACTTACTTGAGAACGACAAGAGGAACTTGTTGAAACGTAGCGTGAAATAAACCCAGTGATTGTTTTCCATATAAATTTGTGTGTTTTTTTTTATATTATAGTAGAATTGTCTGAACAATTGATGGTAATCTCTATGTAGTTTATATTAAAGGAAACAATGTTTCTAATTACTCTACTTAGCTAATTAATGGCTTCCGTGTTATGTTTAGTTTATTACATAATACAATATCTGACATAATATTGACATAACAAGCTGGAGTGGTCATTAGCCGATTGAACCCGACTCACAGGGGTCTATAATTACTATTATTATTATCCTCCATGTGTATGATATTAAACGATAATTCCCAGATATAAATGAGATGAAATAGGGTTTAACGTTCTGCTGTTCTGCTCAGACTGGGATAGAATACAGACATACACCATACAGCCTACTCTTATAGAGAATTACAACTGCCAAGGGATCATTTGCGCGGATAGCAGGCACTACGACCTACTGTTATATACTCCAACTGCCAAGGGATCTTTTGAGCGGATAGTGGCACTACAACTTATTCTCATAGAATTTCAACTGCCAAGGGATTTTTTGCGTTCAATGCCAATGTGTACATGGAAAAATATACATTGTCCTTTGCCAGGCCTTTGGTCCTGCATCACTGACACCATGGCTTCCACTCCCAGATATAGCTTTGTGAATAAAACAGGTTAATTCTCAGTGAAAAACTTGGGTCCAGTGCGACTATGATGCTTTTTTGATTAAACACATACTTTCTACACATGACTATTAAAATCATCAGTTCTGTTTTTCATCCATCGCAAAGAGCTCTAGTCATTTTAAGTTAGAATTAATTCTAATTAAATTCACAGATATATATTGTAGGGAATAAAACTGGATCATTCGGGGAGTTACTTCCCTTATCATACCTCCCCCACCCCAACCACTTCAACCACCCAAAAAGTATGATCTGGACATGTGCATGATTTACCATGTTTCTCAAATTGCACCTGCTAGGTAAGGTGTCTTTCAGAAATGCACATCCAGTGCCTTATCCCAGTAGGGTGCTAGCATGACAGGGGTCAGCCTAAAAGTTCTGTTCTCTGCCTTCTAGATTTGAAACTATGTTGTTTTACCACACAAGTACTGAAACTCCAAGGGATGATCAAAATTTAAATTTCTGATTATTTTTGTGATTTCAGGAGCTTGAGAAAAAGTTACGAGAGAAATATGTTGATGATTTACAGATTCAGTTAACGGCACATCGCGCTGCTGTACAAAACATACAGGAACAGGCAGATAAACTTCGGCATGACAGGGAGATAACTCTCATTAAACAACATCAACAAGATATAGGTGAGTGACTGTATGTTGTGTAAGGCTGGTTCTGAAATTCATATTGGCATCTTAATCTGAACACAAACCAGGGATGTTTTGAGAGAAAGAGAAATGGGGTTTAACGTCCACACGACACAAGCAAGATCATTTCGTGACTAATTCACATGATTCGATTTTATTTCAATAATTCACTTGCGCGTAGTGGTCTTTTGTAGTGGGAGGAAACCAGAGGACCCGGAGAAAACCCACAAGGATGGACAGGGGACCATACTCCTTGTCACATACAACCGAGGCAGGGATGTTCTTGCAAAATTTTGCTTGTCAGACATTTAGTGGTAGGATTATTGAAGTTATAGTCAGCTTCAGAAAATAGTGTCAAAAAGCTTCCATTCCTTTTAAATCAACTAATAGTCATACGAGAGTAACAAGACTATTTGTTTTGGTAAGGATAGGTTTCATTTTTGACAGAACAGGCTATCACTTGACACCGATTTAAACAAAATATAAGTAAAATTGATTAATAAGTTTTTTTCTCAGTTAACGGAGCCACAGTAGGTCAGTGAGTAAGACGTAGGCTCACTAACCTTGGAGATCCTGTTTATGATTCCTAGGTGTTTATCGAGAAAGTTGATCACAATTTTTAGGTGTGGTCCCCCTTGTCAGTTTTTCAAAGAATCTTAAAACTGAACGTTTTAAACACACTTTTATACCGATGTGGTTTCCCCTTGTCAGTGGTTCAGGACGGTGGAGGGCTTGACAAGGACAGCAATCTAGTTGTTCAGATGGGTTGGAAAACCAAGGTCCCATGTACACATTGGCATGCACGTAAAAGATGCCTTGGCAGTTGGAATTCGATATAAGAGTAGACCCTAGTGCTGCTCCCCAGGCAAAATTTCCCTTATAGCACGCTGCATGGCATATGCCCATCTTCATTAGCCCAGTTAGAGTAGAACAGTAGGACGTTAAACCCCACTTCATTTCATTTCTTATTAGCTGGAACACTCACACCGCTGATCCAGTTGATTATTATTATTATTATGGAGAAATAACTTCCATCAGTACAAAATGACTAAATTTCATTAAAACAACTTCACCAATAGTTATTCAAATATTTTGGATAAAAATACCTGATTGATGTATTTAATTGTAGATAAATTACGTTTGGAATTATCTGAGAAGTTGGAGAACGATCTGGAGGAGAGGAAGAGGAAACATGAAAGTGAGATGCAGGCAGCTAGAATAGAACTAGAAAGAGCTGTAGAATTATCAAAACAAAAGGTAAGTGAAAATATCAGGGCTGGGCTGACTTTAAATATCCTATGGCTTGTAGCTAGATAGAAGACAGAAAGGGTTTAGACAGGTTTCAGTGTAAGGCAATGATTAGCGTGGTTCCCGTCAGCATTAGAGTTGTGTTTGCAATAAGCTTTATTTTATTTTTTTACGTCTGCTTCCATCGAGCTTCAGTTAAATATAGACGTGTGCGAATCCTCGACATCTGAAGCCCTTTGCTATAATATATAGAGGGAACTAACTGTCATGGCTAGCCTGGAGGTCGGGTGTTCGATCCCTGCAATGGCCAAGAAAGTTCATCGGGATTTTCCGACATTGTCAGTGGTGCAGGACGAAGGGCCTGACAAGGAAAGCTGTCTAGTCGTTCGGATGGTACGAAAAACTGAGATCCCGTGTACACATTGGCGTGCACGTAAAAGATCCCTTGACAGTTGGAATTTGATATAAGAGTAGGCCGTAGTGCAGCTGCCCAGGCAAAATTTCCCTCATAGCACACTGTATGGCGTATGCCCGTCTTCATTAGCCCAGTTCTGATTAGGACGTTAAACCCCATTTCATTTCATTTCATTTCTATGTATACTTAGTGTTTTCGACTAAAATCGTTGATTTAGGTACTAAAAATGTCGGTCAACTAGCTTAGTATCTGTAGACAGACAGCCTAAGTTTAGACTTCAGGATTGAAACCCTTCATTTTGATTAAAAAAAAAACATTTTTATACAAAATACACATAGAATAAATCATCAAACAATCAAGACGACTTGTACTTGTAGATGTTCAGATGACTCTCTTGGTATAAGTTATTGTGTTAGTAACAAATCCTTCATTATTAGGAGTCATGGTGGCTAAGTGGGTAAGACGCTGGCTCGCCAGCCTGGAGGTCGGGTGTTCGATCCCTGCATTGGCCGAGAAAGTTCATCAGGATTTAAGGACAGCGTCTAGTTGTGCGGAGAGTATGAAAAACGAAGGTCCTACGTATACATTGGTATGCACGGAGAGTAGGCCGTAGTGCTGCTGCCCGGGAAAAATTTCGCTTCATTGCACACTTCATGGCGTATGCCTGTCTTCATAAGCCCAGTCTGAGCAGAATAGTAGGACGTTAAACCCCATTTCATTTCATTTCCTTCACTATTATTGATGTTTGATTGAACGACTGATTTAACATTTAGCTAAAGGGCATAGTTTTGATCCCATGCTTATATTAAAAAAAAATTATTTTATCCTACTGATGTTTTTTAATTGAAGTTTTACTGTTTATTAGGATCGCAATAACAATCTACGTATTGAAGAGTTACAAAAGGAGGTAGAAAAGAGAGAAAGAACAATACGTAATCTGGAAGATGAAGTGAGATCTTTGAAGAGATCCATCGAACAATTAAAGAAAGACATGAAACAACGGGATCAAGACATCAAACAAGTCAAACATGAAGCAAAAAATCAAATCAAGTAACGTCTAGTTCTAATAACTCTTCAGTAATAAACGCATAATATGGGACACAATTGAAGAGCCCCGGGGAAGAACGATCTAAGTCACTTTTTCAACGAACCCCAGTTAATGGCGCCATCTGATACCCAGTGGTAGCAAATTGTATAAGCTTTCTGTGGAACAATCAATTTCAGGTAAAAACGATCGGAGTTACATCGAACCAAGGCCTTTCTGAAATGGCCTTCCGACCAATACGTCCATTGTACCCTTTATTTGACCTTAATTTGGCTGAAAAGTGGAAGTAAGTTGTTGTACTGGTAATTATGATTCGTATTAATCATCATTTTGAAGTTGTAATTAAACCCACTCGTTCTGTTCGTGTCAAGCATTCTCATCCAAAAATCTTTTTTGCTAAAAGACAAAAGATCGTTCTTTCCCTGGACTCTTCAATTACTTTTTTTATTAAATCGATGTTTGATAAATTTGAGAGAGCCCTCAACAAAACATTGCTTTAATTAAATAATAAATGTGTTCCATATTATGTTTTTATGTTTATGACATGTATCGATTGCTAAATGTCGCTCAAAGAAGAATCTCTTCAGTAATTTTATAGCGATTGATTTTCTGGGCAACGTTTCAACTCCGATTCCCTACTCTTTATCAAACTTTTTTGTTTATTACTGAGCAACATTTCGACTCAGTCTCATTAAAACACAGAACCCGTTTCGTTTTTATAGTTCAAAATTTCGTTTTGCTCGTTTTACTTGTCTTTACTACACTAGGATCTGGAAAAGTTGTTATTATTGACATGTTCTGAATTGTGTGAGGAATTATCCAATGAAAAGGTCTGTTACGGCGAGCTTCAGACATGTTTTGCATGGAACTGTGGGTAATCCACTAGCAACAATAATGCTGATTGGTTAATCAAATGTCTGACGTTATAGAGTGAAAAGCCGCTCGTATGACCTCTAGCGCGACCTATCACTACAAGCAGTCAGATCTTCATGTAGGGTAGGCCATTGAAAGTATAAAAAAACAAAACGAAATATAGATCTGGATTTTAATCAGATTGCATTTCGACTAGGAATCTCTATTCTGTATCAAGCAAATGATACAGTTATATAATTAAACATGGATGCTTGCAAATGATTCAGAGAATCCTAGTGAAGTGTTGACATATGCAGGGCAGAATACTATGGAACAGACGTACTGCTTACCAATGTAGAGAGCCATGGTGGCTAAGTGATTAAGATTCTGGAGGTCACAGGTTTGCTTCCGAAAATCCTGATGAACTTTCTGGTGTGGTTTCCATTTGTAAGTGGTGCAGGACGGAGAGGGCCTGACAAGGACAGCTGTCTAGTCTTTCTGATGGAATGAAAAACAGAGGTCCCCTGTACACATTGGCATGCACGTAAAAGATCCCTTGGCAGTTATAATTCGATATAAGAGTAGGCCGTAGCACCGCTGTCCTGGTATAAATTTTCCTCTGTATGGCGTATGCCCATCTTCATTAGCCCAGTTGGAGCAGAACAGTAGGACATTAAACCCCATTTCATTTCATTACCACTGAGCAACATTTATCAAGCAAATGATGCAGAGTAGAGAATCCTATTTGAAACCAAAATGTCGCTCCTGTGATAATCCATAATTTTTTATTTTGATCTTTTAGACATTTGGAAGAAGAGTTCCGTCACGAATATCAACGTAATGTTGATAACTTGCAGTCGGATCATGTCCGTGAAGTAGAGGAGATGGTAGCCCAATTTAACCAGGCTCAAAGTTTATTAAAAGATAAAATATCTTCTATACAGTTTGAGTAAGCTTTTGAAATTTTATTCAGATAAGAACACATGTAATAGTAACTCTTAATTTTCACTGAGAATTGAAGCAGTCAATTTGAAGTTATACTTTATTACATGTACTTAGGGTGGGGTGGGAGCAGAGATCACAATCACGCAAAAATCTGCTTTTTTCACACATTTTTTAAAAAAAAAAGATACAAATATTGACGGATGCTGCGTAATTTACACGCAGAATATTTCCCAACGTGAGAATAATTAGATTATTGTATGTAGTAGTTTGTACACTAAGTCATCAATTTATGTGCTTCACGCTGCATTTACACACCGCTACTGTGCGTAATCTCCGTAGCTATTCTGAAACACCCCCTATTTTGCCGTACTGGAAGCAATAAAGCACATTTCAGTCTTGTCATCGGATGTGATAAATAAATAAATAAAAAAAAATAAGGTCCCCTGTATCAATTGGAAGTTGGAACCATGGTGGCTCAGTGGCCATCATTTCTGGGTTTGATTCTGGTGTAGGCCAAGATTGTTCCTTGAGGTTTTCCAGTGTGGTTTCCCCTTGTCAGTGGTGCTGGATAGACGATGTGGCATGGAAAACGGAGGTCCTTTATAAGCATGTAGAACAACATTTGGCAGTTAGAACTCACAGGAGAGTAGACTGAAATGTTTCTGTCTTAGTAAAATACCAACTAGTTGTCAAATGAAATCCCTATACAACATTTAGTAATTAAACATTACTATACTGATTGTTTTCCATATAAATTTGTGTTTTTACATTATATGTTAAATGTCATTCCATTCATAATTTATTGGCCAATTATGTAAAAGGCATTTAATGTCTGTCCACAGAGCCTTAGTAATGGACTCACCACCCTTTTTGTTTTTTCAGATTACAGGAAGCAGAAGAAAGATACAGAAATCGTGAATCACGACCAGAAGACCTGGAACTTATCATGCAGTTACGAGACTCTATATCCGAGCGAGAATTACGCGTCAAGGAATTAATTGTAAGTTGAAATGTTGGCTTTGTCGTTACCCTGTGAAGAGGGTAAAGGCGTGTTGGTGACCAAATAATTTAACATGTGCACTTCAAATCATACAGTCTGTCATTGAGTCAAGGGGTCTAGTTTCGATTCTCTACTTGTACGTGACCAGCAGTAGGGTCACCTGTCCAACCTCGCAGGTTTCCCTCGAGTTCCTCTGGTTTCCTCCCACTGCTAAAGACGATTTGTTTGTCCTGAAACAACCAACATTAAACCCCGTTTCTCACTCTCTCCCCCTCTTATGGCAGTTTATTTATGGCCAGAATAAGCCTTTCATGACCACAATCTGATGAAGCTCACTGGAAACCATGTGGTTTTTCAGGATGGATTCAAACTTAAATTCTATTTAAACTCAAGGTTTTTTCCAGTGTCTGATGATGCAACACATTATGACCAGGATATACTGATTTACCAGTATAAATGAACATCTGTGAATATTACCCCAGAAAATTAGAAAGTATTCTCTTCAAATATTTTGAGGGTGGCAAATTTGCTCAACTGCATTAAAAGAAAATAAAGAAGGTTTTTTTTTTGTTGGGACTATAGACGGATTTGATTTTCCACAAAAACACTGCATATATCTCAGAAGTAATTTTTTATGTGTATGGGTGTTGTGATTTTCGTAGGGATAAACTCAAAAGATTGCCCCTGGCACACAAAAGTCTAGGTTCAACATTGTTACTGTCCCTATATTTATATACCGGTAACTCATGTCTCTTCCTCTGGATTTCCACGCGTAGTTTCCCCCATGTCAGTGGTGCAGGACGGAGGACTTGACAACGAACAACTTCTAGTTGATTGGATAGGACAAAAAAAAAATGAGCTCCCATGTAAACATTGGCATTCATGTAAAAGAACCCTTGACAGTTGGAATTCGATATAAGAGTAGGCCTTCAGTGCTGCTGTCTGGGCAAAATTTCCTTCATAGCACTGTGGCTAATGCCTTTCTTCATTAGCCAAGTTGGAGTAGGATGTTAAACCCCATTTCATTTCATTTGATTTGTTTATTTCAGGATGAGAAGAGATTTTATCAGTTAGAACTGGTGAATAGAGAAACCAACTTTAATAAAATATTCAACACAACTCAAAATATTGGAGTTTTAAATCCACTAACGGCGAAGGTACAGTACCTATTTATGTTTAAACTTTTATCTTAACATGTTTTCTTTCCAAATTATAATTTTCGGAATTAAAACTGCTGCATGGTTTTGAATTCATTACTCACCTGAACGACTCAGGTGCATTGATGAATCCAAATGGCCTCTGTTCTGCCTGTCAGACAGGTATCCATAACTTTTTATCTTTAAAGGAACTAAACCTCTTTATGTCAAAAAATTGTATTGAATTGGGTTGCTCAGTGATGGACCAAGGTCTATGCCAGTAATTTTTTTTTTATCAAGACTAAAGATGTATTATGTAAGATTTAGATAAAGAGCTGACATTTCACGCTAGAATAGTTTCAAAATAGATAGTGAGAAATGAGTATATTGAAAATTTCAGTCAAATTACTTCATTCTGAGCAAAATTATGACTGTTCAGAGAATAGTGGAATAGCGATTGTTATTGTTACCGTTACGGTTAAAGTCTTGATTATCCGTTTTTTTAATTAAATATTTAAACAACAATCTTGTTTTAACCTATTGAAAATAGCAAGCATCTGATTGTCTAGAGAGTTGATTATGGGCTTGTCAAGTTAATAAATGTCTAATTAATAATTTATATATAACATTGAGGCGAAAAGAATGGCCTGCAATAGGCAAATTTACCTCTTACATAATGCATCTTTAAGTTGCTAGATTACTAATGTTAGTTTTTGACCTACTGTGGAACACAAAATTACTGGTTGTATTTATAGATGTAAAATTGTCAACAAATGAGATTGTCACCAGACAAATAGAATCAAATTATAAAATCCTCTGAAATTGGCCCAAAAAGATTTATTCATTTAATGTCAATTTGAATATCAGATTGAAGGTTCCCTACTCTCAACCAATAACAAAACGAGAATATCCTTATTCCTTTTAGAATCGTAATAAATATCCCTTAGCATAATAGATATCCCTTAGCATAATAAATATCCCATAGCATAATAAATATCTCTTAGCAGAATAAATATCTCTTAGCATAAAAAATATCCCTTAACATAATAAATATCTAAATATCCCTTAGCATAATAAATATCCCTTAACATAATAAATATCTAAATATCTCTTAGCATAATAAATATCCCTTAACATAATAAATATCTAAATATCCCTTAGCATAATCAATATCTCTTAGCATAATAAATATCCCTTAACATAATAAATATCTAAATATCTCTTAGCATAATCAATATCTCTTAGCATAATAAATATCTAAATATCTCTTAGCATAATAAATATCCCTTAACATAATAAATATCTAAATATCCCTTAGCATAATCAATATCTCTTAGCATAATAAATATCCCTTAACATAATAAATATCTAAATATCTCTTAGCATAATAAATATCTAAATATCCCTTAACATAATAAATATCAAAATATCTCTTAGCATAATAAATATCCCTTAACATAATAAATATCTAAATATCCCTTAGCATAATCAATATCTCTTAGCATAATAAATATCCCTTAACATAATCAATATCTCTTAGCATAATAAATATCCCTTAACATAATAAATATCTAAATATCCCTTAGCATAATCAATATCTCTTAGCATAATAAATATCCCTTAACATAATAAATATCTAAATATCTCTTAGCATAATAAATATCTAAATATCCCTTAACATAATAAATATCTAAATATCTCTTAGCATAATAAATATCCCTTAACATAATAAATATCTAAATATCCCTTAGCATAATCAATATCTCTTAGCATAATAAATATCCCTTAACATAATAAATATCTAAATATCTCTTAGCATAATAAATATCCCTTAACATAATAAATATCTAAATACCCCTTAGCATAATCAATATCTCTTAGCATAATAAATATCCCTTAACATAATAAATATCTAAATATCTCTTAGCATAATAAATATCTCTTAGCATAATAAATATCCCTTAGAATAAAAAATATCCCTTATCCCTTAGCATAATAAATAAATATCCCTTAGCATAATAAATAAATCTTAGCATAATAAATATCCCTTAGCATAATAAATATCTCTTATCCCTTAGCATAATAAATATCCCTTAGTATAATAAATATCCCTTAGCATAATAAATACCCCTTATCCCTTAGCATAATCAATATGAGTATTACATTAGTAACTTTGTTATATGTAATACATCATTTTAATTTATGCATAGTAATGGTAGTTTATGCATTAATTACATTTATAAGATTATAAGTGGATTTCAATGTTTACATGTAGGCCGATGTCTTATTTGAATTTTAGTTTATTTTATTTGTATATTTAATTTCTGAACCTTATTTTGTAAAACGCACATGTATGAAAATGTACAATAATAATAATAATTTAAATTTCAGCCCAGAGGAAAGAAAGGTGATAAAGCCCCGTTGAAACATTCTAGTGCTCCTACCTTATCACAACGTCTCGATCCGTTGCCTAATTCACCATTACACGATGCAAAACTCAATCCTACAAAACCACTACCATTGCCTTCATTTAATAAAAAATTTGTCAAATAGAATTTTTACATCAAACTGGTTTAAATTAAACAGAAGCCAACAACCGCCTTAATCAATGTAATTTTATACAATGTGAATACAAATCTGATTAACATACAGATCTATATTTCGTCTCGTTTTTTTATAGTTTCGATGGCTTCCACTACATTAAGATCTGACCGTTTGTAGTGGGAGGTTGCGTCAGGGGTCGTACAAGCGTCTTTTGAACCTGCTTTAATCTGTTTTCTATTGCCGCGAATGTCTACCCCAAGTTCCTTGTGCTAGATGAGAAGAACTTGACTCAACACACAATTTGATTGGTTGCGTCAGGGGTCGTACAAGCGTCTTTTGAACCTATGACATTAGTTATTCGATTAAACAATCAGCGTCTGTGTTTTAAGTAGGTATTCAGAGATGTAACTTTTGCTTTAATCTGTTTTCTATTGCCGCGAATGTCTACCCCGAGTTCCTCGTGCTAGATGAGAAGAACTTTGCTCAACACACAATTTGATTGGCTAATCCCTCACAGCAACCAGAACTCGGGTTATTTAACCCTAGTAGTGAAGACAAGTAAAACAGGGCCCTGTTTCTCGAAATCTTAACTAAAGATAAAATCCAAATTTTAGTAGATACTTCAATTTTGATTGGCTAAGCACTAAAATCAATCTAATATTATCCAATCAAATTGCTAAAATTTGGATTTTATCTTAGTTAAAATTTCGTGAAACAGACCCCTGGTTATATAACAAATCTTCCAGATCCTAGCTGGTAAAGACAAGTAAAATGAAATTATGAATTATAAAAAAAACGAATCAAAATAGGATCTGTATTTTAAATTTAATCGGATTAAATAAAAATTATTCCAGTTCTCTTGATACTGCGGCTTCACTTAAAAAGGGCTGTACAACCCTTTTTTTTATTTTTTAAGGTTAAACCATTAATCAATGAAACATTTCCTTGGGTAAAGGGATGTGACTAGTTAAATCAGAATAATTTTTGGGACCGATTGTCTGAAAACTACAATAATGTTTTGAACGATTGTCTGATTGTCTGAAAACTAGAATAATGTTTTGTTATGGCCTAGAGATTTTGCTAGTTTTGACTTTGATCTGGTCAAAAAGAGATCAGATTTGAGAAAATAGGTCAAATCGGTCTCTTGTGTTAGTCTGATTGCTTATTTATTGAAATGCATTATAGAAAGAGCTGGAAATAAAATAGGTTCATTGTCTTATTTTACCTGAACATGAAAGCCTTGTTTATTATTTAAAGGAATGAATGTGTTATAGACTTTTATGTAAATGGTGGTTTTTGAATTTTAGTATCAAAGATAGTAAAAAAAGGCATATTTAAATGGTATGAGCTATACATTTTACTGCTGTTTTAATAGACAAAACGATATGTTGGAATTTCTTGTTATTTTGTGATTTATTTATTTGTATATTTATTGCAGAGTCATTATTTAAAGTTTCCGTCCCCTAAAATAGCATTACTATATAATATGTAAATATAAAGCAACTCCTTTTACAATCAAAGAAAGAGATAGATATAATAATTAAAGGATATGGAGGAATTTCTTGTTATTTTGTGAATTTATTTATTTATCTATTTGTTATGAGACACACACACACAGAGAGAGAGAGTTTATTGTCCACTGACACAAACTAAGTCAATTCGTGACTAATTATCTGTTATGATTAAGGGATCATGTAGGGTTATTATTTAAAGTTTCCTTCCCCTTAAAAGAGTTAATTATTTAAATTTTTGCCTCCTGCTTCCTTGGGACAAAAATGAATTTATGGCTCTTCTCAAAAGCCTTTAATCCCAAATTTGTATGTTTGGCAATTTCAGGAGACTCAAGTTGCTATTCCTTTATCAAGATTCCAAACAATGGAAAATTAAATTGTTCTGGTCCGTTAGACTGACAGGATGTAATTATTGATTTGAAATGTTGGTAAAGGATACAATCCCAATGAAATTTTTAAACATGGATATTAGACAAATAGGGTTTTAACCTTCAACAGTTTCATAATGAAGTAGTTTGCAAGGGATTCAAATCCCTCCAATGATGATCATCGCCTTCAACAATATTCCCAAGAATCGAAAGATTTAGTCCTGAACACCCCTAATCAAATTTCAAATCTTTTAAACTCAATAATTATATTATTTTACCATTCTTTTAAAGATAAATTAATTTGATAGTTTTATGAACAAGATCCAGTATTTTATGGACTGACAAAAAATCCATTAAACTAGAAAAACATGTTCCCAAAAAAATAAAGTTTAGAAAAAAGCTTTAACATTGTCATATTTAACATTTTTCTAACCAAAAATAATCCATTGTGTTGTCATAATATTCCTGCTTAATGCATTCCTGAACGTCGAAATCAATTTGATTTTAAGCGAAAATATTTTTATGAAATATTACAATAAATCTGCGCTTGTCATGAGTATATTTCAGATCCTTCTAATCAGCTATTATCAAAAATAAATGTCTGATTTTTTAAATGTTTTTTTAACATTTTCAAGATTTAAAAATTCTAGAGATATTGGACATGATGTTTTTTATAACTGCATGTCAAAGTGATGAATTTATTTAATTCAGATTTATCTTTTAAAATGGATAAAATGTGGAATATTAACCTATTTTGTCATTTTTTAAACAGATTTTAGGTCTTGAATGATAAGTTAAAATTGATGGCTTTTCAGAAAAATTATTTTTAAACTTTGTTTTTATCTCCCCAAAAAAAAAAAAAATATATTGTTTTAGCTGTGTGTGAATAAGTTTGGATGTAAGTTAAAGAATTGAAATGAAAGGGGGTTTAGCGTACCATTGTTCTTTTCCAACTAGGGGGAGCATTAGCCATGCAGTGCGCTATGAAGAAAAGTTTGTCCGGACAGGGGTGCTGTAGTCTGCTCTTATTTCAAGTTCCAACTATCAGATAGTCTTTGATCTTGAACAAGCTGTCATTAGTGTACATAAGTTCATTAATATTTTTATGGTGTGGTTTCCCCCTTGTCATTGATGCATAAGACAAAAAAAAATCAAGGTTCCGTGTACGCATGAAATAAGATGAGAAATGAAATATGGTTTAAGGTCCTACTGTTCTGCTTCTACTGGGCCTGTGTACACATTGATGTGCATGTAAAAAAATCCATAACATAATTTGATAAAATAGTAGCACACCGTATGGCGTATGCCTGTCTTCAGTAGCCCATTTGGAGCAGAACAGTTGGACGTTAAACTCCATTTCATTTCATTTCACAGTTATAAAAAATACCTTTTATTAAATAGCACTTGTCTCTCCGTATTGAATTCCAAATTATGTATTGTATATTCAGGTACATACTGAAATCCGTCCCGTCTAATTATACAATTTTTTAGTTTATTTTACTTATATTAATGTGTTGTATATCCCCAGTTATATTATTGTATATATTACAGAAATCAGCATTAATTTATTTTAAATAATTTAAGATATATTTTTATTACAGTAGGGGTGGGGAGAATTAATATATTTTACAAGTCTGATTCTATTGTATTAGAGATGAATTATTTAAGAGCTACATCTGTCGATTGCAGATCTATTTTCTGACTTCAATCAAATGCTATATAAATTATTAATTAGACATTTATTCACATAACAGGCCCATATCAACCCTCCAGACCATCGGATAGATGAGTAGATTAGACAATGTCTGCTATATCTTCGTTAAACTTTAACATGGGAAGTCAAGACTTTGTTTATTATTGTAGCCTAGCATTGGTACTTGACAATTAGGACTATTTATGATATTTCTTTTTCGAACCTCATTCATAAATTTGCTCTGGAATAAAGTAGTTTGACTGAAATTGGCAATATATTCAATTTTTTAATGTTTTTTTAAAACTATTACAGCTCTTTAGCTAAATCTTACATAATTCATCTTTAAATTAAGCATTATTATATTTTAAATAATTAAACTTATATTTTGATTACAGTAGGGATGGAGAGAATTTATATATTTGATTGTATTATATTAGATTCAGCATTAATTTATTTCACACATTCGACATATTTATAAATATTATGTTTTTTTCCCCATTTTAAACAGAAATAAAATTGTTTATCTGGGCCCTGTTTCTCGAAATTTTAACTAAAGATAAAATCCAATTTAAGTAGATACTTCAATTTTGATTGGCTAAGCACTACAATCAAATTACTAAAATTTGGATTTTATCTTAGTTAAAATTTCGTGAAACAGGCCCCTGTGTGTTGTGATGAATTTCAGCACTGATTATATATTTACAATCCTGGAGCCTTATTCACGAAATCTTAACCTAAAATACTTTAAGAATGCAGCCTTTTCATTAGCTAAGAGTTAAAATTTACACCAAGATGTCAATCATCAGCCAATGAAAAGGCTGGTCCTATTGCATTAAATTTTCAAACCGGGGACCTTATTCACAAAATAGTATCCTAAAATATGTTTGCAAATAAACTAAAATATGTTAAAATTCAGTTCTTTCACTGACGAAGAGATCAAATTCCTACCAAGATTTTATTGATATACCAATGAAATGCTTGCATTCTCTTAAAATATTTATTTTCCGGCGTGGTTTCCCCTTGTCAGTGATGCAGGACAGAGGACCTGACAAGGACAGCTGTCTAGTCGTTCGGATGGGACGAAAACCAAGGTCCTGTGAACATATTGGCGTGCACGTAAAAGATCCCTTGGCAGTTGGAATTCGATATAAGAGTAGGCTGTAGTGCCGCTGTCCGGGCAAAATTTCCCCCACAGCTCACTGTATAGCGTATGCCCGTCTTCATTAGCCTAAGCATAGGAGCAGAACAGTAGGATGTTAAACTCCATTTCATTTCATTTCTTAAAATATTTTAGTTTAAATTTGTGTCAATTAGGCCCTATTACATTAAATTCAGCATTGATTAATTTATTTTACCTATTTATGAATATTATTTTTTGCTGTGTTTATGTATATGCCAGGATAATTTCATTTAGCATTAAAGAGGCCTTCCCACATACAAACTGTGTGATTTGATTATTTTATTTGAGCTATAAACATATTCATACTAAATTATATATCAAAATTTGTTCAAACCCTTATCAAAACATTTCAATCGGAAGAAAACTACCCCAAGCAGCGATCCCCTTACTTTTTTGTCCTGTGTGGATCTCATGAATGTTTTTTTTAGGGAATCCATTATTTTTCTAGTAAGATTGGGTGTCATCTCTTACATGTACCATTCCAAAAATACCATACCTTTATTGGAAATAAATGCCCTATAAATACTTTCGTGGGAAATCACCTTTAAAATCTAATAAATTGTTGGATTGTAAAATGGCTTCCAATATTCTAATAAAAGTAGCAAGTTTTTCTTTCTCCCACAGCTTGTCTGAACCACTGTAAAATTGATATGTTTCACTTGTGAACAAATGATTTTTGTTACTGGGAATATCCGCCACGAAGAACTCTAGGTCGTCTTTTGTTTTGTATAATGTTAAATAGTCAATTAAAATAGTCAGACAGTAGTCATTTTGTAAGTAGTTGTTATGTTACTTGGATGTTTTTAAGGATATGATAATATCATATATTGACTTGGCTTGGTAGTATATTTATAATAAGGTTCTGCTGTTCTTGTTCAACCGGGCTAATACCGTGTACAAATAGGCGTGCATGAAAAGGTCCTTTGGCAGTTGGAATTCGATATAAGAGTAGGCCGTAGCGACGCTGCCCGGGCAATATTTTCCTCATAGCACACTGTATGGCGTATGCCCGTCTTCATTAGCCCAGGGTAGGAGTAGGTCGTTAAACCCCATTTCATTTCATTTTAACCGGGCTAATAAAGGCGACCACCCGCCATGCAGGGTATTAAGAGGGACGTTTTGTTGTGTACGTCGACGTTTAAACCGAACCCTGGTTTTTCGTTTCGTCAGACAGACTAAACGCTGACTGTTCCTTGACGGGCACTCCGTCCTGCATCCCTTACTGGGGAAACCTTAGGGTACAGTCTCGGGATCGAACCTCTTACCCCATGGTTATCAAACCTGCGCCTTACTCACGGAGCCACCTCAGCCCCGTAAAGTCAAATAGAAAATCTCGTAATTTTTATTAGATTTTAAAGACATTTTATTTTTTAAATTTATATCAATGATAAAATGATTTATAGAATGTATATGTATTTTAAGGATTGAAGAATTTTATTATGTCCGTGTGTGAAATATATAAATAGATATTTATCATTTGTGAAGCTTTTTGTGAGATTTCAAACCAAACATATAAAAATATATTATATTTCATAATATAATACAAAAATTTATGAAAGTTTTTTCTTTGGTTAAAATCAACGTAGTATGCATGGAATCTGTTCAACCTGCAAATAGTTGTTTTGGTGAGTAGAAATCACATCTTCGGCAAAATGTTCCATAATTATTAACTTCTCAAACACGTCATGTATTCACATGAATGAATACATGAATGAATACATGAAACGGAGTTTTTTGGCACGTCAGCTCCAACCGGGCTATATATTACATCAAACATATGCTGATGGTTATATATGACGTAGTGTGGGGGAGAGAGAGAGAGAAATGGGGTTTAACGTCCACTCGACACAAACTAGGTCATTTCGGGACTAACATATGGTTTAATTTTATTTACATAATTCGCTTGCACGTAGGGGTCTTTAGCAGTGGGAGGAAACCGGAGGCCCCGGAGAAAACCCACGAGGTTGGACAGGCGACCTACTCCTTGCCACGTACAACCGGGGATTCGAAACCACGCCAGTCGACTCAATGACAGACTTTATGATACAGCGCGCGCACGCTAACCATTCAGCCATCCAACCCCCCGACGTAGTGTGGATTCTATCCGGGCATATAATTATATTACGTCAAACATTGGATGAAATATGAGACAGGCTAAATTATTCCACTATTCATGTATACATCAATAAAAACAAATTTCACAGTTATGAATCACTATTCCTATACATCAACAAAAACAAATATTACAGTTACGAATTTTCTAAAATTAAAAATAAATATCACAAAGCATATAAATATTTAAAATATTGAATTGTATACAATTAAAATTTATAATAAAAACCTGTCATGCGAGTCACATGATTAGTCCGAACTCTAGTTTCTGTATATAACTCTATGGTCCGTCCCTGGTGTAAATATCTTGCCGGTTGTTTTGGTAGGTTAGACCCATTTCATAAGACCAACGTTAAGTTTGCTTAAAGGTCACGAGATGTAAACAGGGCTAGCGCTAATCCTAGCCCTAAGATTTATTCCAAACCTAACCTACCATCACGCCAACAATCGCAACGTTATTTGCATCTCGACGACCTTGGCGAAATCTTGAGCTGGACTTAATAATTAGATCTAGCCGTTTTGGTACGATACGCCACGCCCATATATCATACATCTAGTCGCTGACAACGAAGTGGTCCGATTGTAACATACGCTCTTTCATGTGTACTACCTACAATATAAAAAAACATGCGCTTAAGATTATAACTTTTCGCCTGGCCCAGCTACCAGCGTTGATGGCAAGGCTCCCCTCATTCCTTCGGTCTATCCTTTGGATGAACTTACATTGGACGCTCCCCTGCAAAAGGCATTCGGTCTTTACCAAAGGAAACTAGATCGAATTGGCCTCCTGATCGTATCTCCCGCCTATCCTAGTCTAAGCCTACTATTTGCCATTTCTAGGAAACACTAGACCGCGATATCAGCCAAGGTGGACGTAGACCTTAAGCCTTAAGAACGAACGATTATAACTTCATGATGTTCTGGAATAATCAAGTATTTACACATAATTGTGGAATTGTCTGTGGCTAGTGTCCGCCAAAATCTGGGGGTCGACCAATAACATTTATATACATTGCTTAATGTAAGATTTAGATAAAGAGCTAGCCGTTCTTGCTATAATAGTCTAAATATATATATACCCAAAGTCATTAAAAACGCAAGGGCTAATTCGTGAAATTGTGATGGGTCTCTTTTTGTGGAGTTCTGGGTTTGAACCCACCATCAGTTCTCTGCACTCTGGCCCTTTCAATACAGATAAAAATTTCAACATTCATCACTTCGGAAAAATACCACGCCTTGTAACAGAGCCATTGACATGCTGGATCAGGGGGCTTCACAGGTAGCCGTCGCCAGACACTTTAATGTCCACCCATCGACAATTGCTCGCCTCAGACAACGCCACTGGAAGAGTTGCCGATCGACCCCGACCTGGAGCGCCACCCGTAATAACCGCTGATCAAGATCGCCACATCCGATTACAGCATCTGCGCAACAGGTGCCAGTTAGCTACTGCTACTGCCAGGGGAACTGTTGGAACACGGCAACGTCAGATCAGCCCTCAAACAGTCTGAAGGGGCCTGGCTGCTCTTGGGTTACGCTGCCGCCGACCTTACCAAGGTCATATCCTTTTGCATCGTCATCGATTTACCAGACAGCAATGGGCCGCAAATCGGGGATATCTGCACAACACACCATGACGAAATGTCATCTTCTCGGATGAATCCCGATTCATCCTCAGTTTTCCTGATGGACGTCACCGTATCTGTCGACGTCGACTTGAACATCTTTGCTCGTTACCCGATCGAACACCTTTGGGATGAACTTGGACGACGGGTTCGAACTCAAGCCGTGCCACCACGAACTGTTGCAGAGTTGGCACAGGCACTCCAAAATCATTGGCAAACAATCCTACAGCGTGTAGTGAGACATCTGTGGTGCCAGTCCATGCCAACGCGACTTCAGGCATATGTAAGAACTCCGGGTGGACATACCCGAAATCGACTTCAGCTGACCCCTGCTTTGTTTTATCGTTCTCTGACGTTTCGGTTTTGTGCATTTCTAGTGAATTCTTTCATGAAATTATCCACAGATGCTTGTTATCTCGATTTTGTCAATTATTATGTACATTTGTTAAAAGTTGTTGCAGTAAATAAACTTTGAATTTGGCATTGCGTTTTAAATGGCTTTGAGTGTAGATACTAAGAAATGAATACTGAAACATTTATTCAAATTACTATAATCTTGGCGAAGTTATGCCCTTTGAAGTTTTGACAAGATGTGGCATAGCCTTGTTAGAGACATCGATCAAACATTAATATACTATTCAAAAAAAGTAGGGGATATTTGATTTTTAAGTGTTATTAAAGTCACCTAATGAAACTGACGAAGAAACAAATGACAAAATGAAATGAAGTTCACATTCATCGATTTATTCCAAATGATCGTTAGACTAAGTAAGGCACAGACTGACCATTATAAGGGTAAAATGATACCCGGGGTCAAACAGCAAAGTAACCACAGCATCACAACCAAGTCAGTAACGGGTAAATCCTCCTCTGTTTGCCAAACAAGCATTGATCCGACGTGGCATACTCCTAATGAGACGTCTAAGGTCATTTTGGTCCAGATTGTCCCATTCCTGTTGCAACGCAGCAGCAAGTTCTTGGACATTGGCAGGACGTTGTTGACGTTGACGTAACCTCTGTCCAAGCATGTCCCAGACATGCTCGATGGGGGAGAGGTCGGGACTCAGTGCTGGCCAAGGTAATGTGGTGATGTTCTGTTGTTGGAGGTAACCTGTAACGATCCTGGCCCTGTGACATCTTGCGTTGTCATCCTGGAAGATGAAACGGCGGCCATGACGTCGTGCGAACGGCACAACATGGACTGCCAAGATGTTGTCCCGGTAGTACTGGCCTGTAACACGCCCTGCAACAACATGTAAAGCCGTTCTTCCAGCAACAGTGATGCCTCCCCACACCATAACAGAACCACCCCCAAATCGATCATGTCTGATGACGTTAACGTCTTGGAAGCGCTCGTTTCGACGACGCCACACCCTCCTACGTCTGTCCAAAAAATCAACAGTGAACCTTGACTCATCTGAAAACATCACATTGCTCCAGCGTCGATTATCCCAGTGTTGACGATCCCTACACCAACGACGTCTTGCCTGAATGTGATGATCTCTCAAACAAGGGATCACGCGAGGACGTCGGGCGCGAAGGTGACCCCTATGCAGTCGATTCCGAATCGTCTGGCCACTCACTCTCACACCAGTGTCTGTTTGAAGACGAGCGCTGATCTGATTTGCTGTGATGACACGATTTCTCAAGGCCAAGGTACGAATAAATCTATCCTGGGCTTGAGTTGTCGACCTGAGCGTGGTCTGTCCTGTACAGATTGTGTATCACGGTATCTGGACCATAGCCTGCTTATGACAGACTGAGAAACATTCATCGTCCGCGCCACAACCGCCTGTGTTGTGCCGATCTGTAGCATGCCAAGGGCACGTAACCTTTCATTTTGGGTAAGCCGACGCATATCAAAATTTGTTTTCTGGTCACTAAAACAATTAAACTGATGTTTCCACCCTGGAATTCAATGCCACAATGACTGTAACATTCAAAGTCAGAGTCGTGCAAATCTTGGGTTGGACCCCCATGATGATCCCAAGCATCACCTGCATTCCATGCGGTAGCTATTGGTGCGTTTGGGCGTCACATGTAACTGGAATTGTTTCTTCCGTTAGGTTCTATAGTGACTTTTTTCGTAGTCATTTGCATATTTTAGTATTATGCCCCCAAAATCAAATATCCCCTACTTTTTTTGAATAGTATATAATAGTTATAGCATAATGAAAACGGGCATACGTGTGCTATGAGGGGAATTTAGCTGGACTGCGGTGCTATGGGCCTAAGGCCTACTCTTATTTCGAAATTCAACGTCATCGGGTTTTCGTGCCATGCGAACGACTATACGTTGTTCATTGCAAGGGCCTCCAAAATACAGCATTGACAAAGGGGAACCACCCAGAAAATCCCAAAGAACTTTCTCAGACAACACCGCGACCGAATCCATGATCTATTGTGGAGTGAACCAGTGCCTGACTAAGCTCTCGAAGTAGATAACAGTATTGCAAGTACTACTAACCAGTATCGCCGCCTTCAAAGGTAATCATTGGCAAAGCAGTGATGTTTGTAATGAAACCCGAATCTTCTCTCCAAACGTTGTCGTTTATTTGGCAATTACATTTCACACCCTGTGCATCACACGAGTCTTCAATACCACAAGCACATGCATCATTGTCAGTTCCATTCCCAGCAAAATAAAATGCTCTTTGATGATGCATATTTATCCACGCTGCGTCTGAGCGTAACGCAGCAAAGCATTCATATCGAAGAAACTGCTCACAGTAGTCGGCATTTTGTTTGATGGCTTTAATGTGTTGCAATGAAACTGTGTAATGTAAATCAAGTTTATACGAATATTTCTGCTCGTAGTCGTTTATATATGTTCTATTTGTGGTATTGTGGCCTGAAATTAATTGTATGATAAAATAAATGATAAAAACGTTTAGATTACTAGCTTAAAACTGTATGATACAATAAATCATAAAACATTTTGGATCCGTTACTCATCTGAACAACCCCGGCGCATTCGTAAAACCAAATGGCGGCTGTTGTGCCATTCAGGCAGACATCCACACATTTGATCTTTCGAGGAGCTACTGACAACCTTGATTTAGGTCCAGATAAAGTATTGAATTGAGTTCGATTGATCTAATGCATTATTTCTTTAGCATTTTGTCTAGGTTTGTTTATTTCTGTTACTTTCCGATTGGCCAATCGTGCTTTAATCTGTAGCCGTAGAATCTATTGAAATCGACAGTTTATGTTTTGACCCGAATCAGAAAGATGTAGTCAATTTAAAGGCACAGAATTTTGGATCAGACATAAAGACATTTAGACCATGTACACCAGAACCGTTTATCGGTCAAACGGGGATTTTAGTCTGTTTCCCAGGGCCAGTATGCAAGTCCAGAACAATAAAGTTCCCTATGAAAATGTACAATCTAGCCTCGTATTAAATTAAACATTCCACGACTAAGTGCTAACGCGCGCTTTACGAGAGAGAGAGAGGGAGAGAGAGGGAGAGAGAGAGAGAGAGAGAAATGGGGTTTAACGTCACTGTACGGTTATCAACTGTAGGTTTCCCCGATGGGTCCATTGAAATTTTACAGTACTTAAAGTAAATGCATTTGAAGACTGTTGGATATTCCATGTCGAACACATACTGTCCTTATTCCCTTAATTAGTCACGATTTATCTGTTGAAGCTCAGCTTTATAAACGATTTGTAAAACAGTTTATTAGTTCAATTCAAAATAATAATGAATGTGTACACGTCATGCCTTACATCATCTTCAATAAAAGGCTTGATCTCGCTTTAACTACGTACATCTTATCAAGGCCTTCACGTAATACCTGCATATTTCTGCACTAATTTCGATTGGGTACATATAAGATATGTGCCCGTCATGCCTTACATGGAAGTTCTTCCAAGAATATTAATAATATTAGTTATGTCTACGGTGTCTCTAGATACGATTTATATATACTCTTCAAAAAAGGTAGGGGATATTCAGAAACAATACAAAACTACGGAAATGCTGTTTTTATTAGAGGTAACCAGTGTATGTTAATAACAGGCCAATTGCCTACACATGAACATAAACAGTTCATATGGGAGGCTTATTTGACGGCCCCATTTCACTAGCAAAGAGATACACCGTCCAAAGTGAAAATGGACGTTTTTGATTTTTGTCTTAATAATGAGTAATTGCTCCACCAATCCTCAGACATTCAGCAATTCGTCGTGGCATGTTCCTAATCAATCGTCCAATCACGATTTGGGGCAATCTGACCCACTCCTCTTGCAGTGCCACGGCCAATTCTTGCAATGTGGTCGTTTGACATTGACGTCGACGAACACGTCTCCCGATCAAATTAAACGTAACACACTAAAGCAAAGATGCGCAATACAGTAAATCTTATGCAAGAACCGATAGTAAAGCAAACAAGGATAGATAAACCAGCACGCGGCAGTTTTCATCAACCCTTCCTTGTAGTGTCAAATTTGACAATGAACCCCTCCTACTGTATGGCGATATTAAATTAAATTAAACATTCAACGACTAAGTGCTAGCGCGCGCTTTACACGAGAGTGAGAGAGAGAGAGAGAGAGAGAGAGAGAGAGAGAGAGAGATGGGTTTAACGTCCACTCGACACAGACTAGGTAATTTCGGGACTAACATATGGTTTAATCTTATTTTAAAAATTCGTTTGCGCGTAGGTGTCTTTAGCAGTGGTAGGACTCGGAGAAAACTTACGAGAGGTTGGACAGTCAACCCTACAGGCCTTATGATACAGCACGCACTTTCTAACCATTCGGGCATCCAATCCGCCTGCGCGCTTTACGAAGTACGGCAAACAAATTAAATACACAAATAAAATAATGTAATTAAAATAAGGTAAGACATACATTAAAATAAATATCAGATAAAAATGTTTAACAAACAATTAATTTACGATTTTAGTCTGTCCTTAATTGTGTATGTAATCTTCAAGTTATCTATTATATATTTAATTAAATACTAATGAATAAAAATCCATAAAGCATAGAATTGAAGTGTCCTTTGCTGTCTTGTAAAGCTGAAGTCTGAAAGAAGGCTGGAGAAAATAACACTATAGAAGACAAAACAAACCCTGGGATGGAAGTGAATGATTTAACGCGCCTGTGTCTTGTTTCTCGATTCTCCGCTTGTACTTGACAAGGAGTAGTGTTGCCTGTCCAAACTCGTGGGTGTTCTTCAGGTCCTAAGATTTCCTCCCACTGATAAAGACCCCTACGCGCACGGGAAGTATTGAAATAAAACTGAACCATACATTACACCGAAATGACATAGTTTGTGTCGAGTGGACGTTAAACCCCATTTCTCACTCTCAACACTACCTAATAACTCCAAACGTATATGCACAAAGGAGTACCATACATAGAAAAGATTGTAATGAAATAATTACTTATATATTGACTAATATATATATATACATTGTAAATATTGTAATGTACGAATAAATGTGAAATAAATAAATAATAATCGTAAACTTTCTAACAACTTTATACTTACATGCACTAATAACCGTAAACTTACCAATAATCTGTAAACACAACTGTAAATTTACTAATAACTTATAACTACTGTAAATTTACTAATAACTTATAATTACTGTAAACTTACTAATAACTTATAATTACTGTAATTTACTAATAACTTATAATTACTGTAATTTACTAAAAACAGTTAAGCTATTTATTACTGTACACTTTCCGAAAATAGAAAACATATAAATCACCGTAAACTTACAAATAACTGTAAACTTATTAATAACTGCCAACTTAATAATAACTGCCAACTTGCTCATAACTCCCAACATGCTCATAACTACCAAGTTAACAATAACTGTAAACTTACCAATAACTGTCAACTTAATAACTGTAAACTTACCAATAACTGTAAACTTACCAATAACTGTAAACTTACCAATAACTGTAAACTTACCAATATTTTTACTGTAAACTTACCAATAACTGTAAACTTACCAATAACTGTAAACTTACCAATAACTGTAAACTTGCCATCACAAGAAACTTCTACTTGCTCTAATGGACCATTGCCATCAACGTCAATAATGATCGGAGTAGTCCCTACAGTGTAATTTTTATCAACGGCATCGGAACAGTCAGTCGGTGGAACTAAAATTAAACAAATACAGCCTTTTGATCGGAAATATCTCCAAATAATTTACCAGCTATCACAGAGATGACTCATATTGAAACACTTTAATCGAGGTCTCTAAGGGCTACCTCCAAATCTTGTTCGCCAATCGGGCCTACTATAAGTTCAATTTCCGACTTGCAGGGGCTTCGGTATTTCGCCTTATCCAAAGAACTAGACGCTATTCCTTGCCAATACTTTTCTATTGCACCAGGGGAACATAGAACCAGGAATGTTCTAGGGAAACACCGGGATCGAACCTAGGAACTCTTGTGAGCCAGCATCATACTCAATGAGTCCCTGTGCCGCAAAGGCTAAAGACGATACGCTATTTCATCAAATGCCCTATACAGTTTCAGTGTATCTTTAGTTTTTATGCGGTAATCGGAAATAACCAGAGATTAAATGAAACAATAACAAATTAAGATAAAAGTGATTTCAGAGTTCGAATGTAATTTTCTGTATTATTTTCCTGTCCAGTTTTAACATACCTCGTTGACATTCAAATTCAGACCAGGATCCACCAGAAGTACAATTCGCTGACCCTGAAGATTCATATAAACACGGTAACATGACAACCTCGTCTATATGCCACATAGTCTTGATCTGAAAGGCGCTTTGGTTAATATATGATACCGATGGTGCACCCACACAACCAATAACTTCACATTTGCCTAATTCTTGATCGTTGACGATACAATGGGTATTATTCGGACAACTGTGAATGAAACACGGACCGCGCAATATATCCTTGGTCCATGAACTCGCCATGCTGGACACTACAGCCAGAGATTGGACTGTGGTCGGGGTGCCTTCTTGAGTCATCAAATTGTCTTTTGGTGTCATTAAATGACACACACCCAACTCAGTATTAAAATTGATAAATGAGCACAGGCTATATTGAAGACACGTTCGCATACACGTGACCAATTCACTTTCTTCAACTGTTAAAATAGTTTCTCCATTACGGAAAGTGTTTCTTGAAACTTCATATCCAAAAGTGTCCAGGTTTGCACACATTTTGTTTGTGGCCCAAACAACCGACATAGACATAATCAGGACCAGCGTTACCAGATGAGCCATGGCCGTAATTTACAATGCAGTTAAGTTATATGTCGTGGAAACGTCGCCAGAAATAAATCCTTCAAGTAACCTGTATTCCATATAATCGTCTAATCCAGTTACTAAATGCTGCTTTGACAATTGATTTTGTTATACCTCCGGAGTTGACTTCACGGAGTTTTATCGCTCTTTTAAATCGATGTGACCAATTATTCTGGACTAATAGTGAAACAGTTTGTCTCGCTACCTATTGTTTACTAAGTATGATAACGTCCAACTAGCACAGCTGTGTGAATGCAACGTCTGTGACAACTATTTATTAGCTATTTGTAAAGAAACTATGGGTATTAAAGGGAGTATAGTTCAAAAATTCGAAATTTAAAAACACGAATTAAAATTCAATATTGACCTATTCAATCCATAATGATGTTGTTGCCTTACCGTGAAATATCCAATATTTAAGACGCAGTCACAATTTTTAAAAAAAATATTTTCCCAGTGTCGGGTTCTCTATGGTATCAATCATCATTTATAATAAAGAAAGAAAAAAATCCCAATTTAAAAAATGGCTGATCCACAAACGCCAACATGGTAAAGAGATAATCTTGTAGACTGGATTAACCAGACGGAAACGACTGCCATTCAATTTTGACCACTCACGTATTTCAACAAACATAACCGTACATAAATTACAGAAACAAAATATAAATGAATGTAGATTAGTAAATTTATATACACTCATATGCGTTTTTCACCCATTTTGAAGACCTGTCATTGAGTCAAGTGGCGTGGTTTCAAGAAAGTATGGTCGGATGTCCAACCTCGTAGGTTTTCTCGGCGTCCTCCGATTTTATCCCACTGCTAAAGACCCCTACGAAAAGCGAATAATTGAAAACAAAACGTATCTCTCTCTCTCTCTCTCTCTCTCTCTCTCCCTCTCTCCCCCGTTTTCTTCCCCTCTCTCTCTTTCTCTCTCTCTCTCCCCTCTCTCTCCCTTCGCTCTCTCTCCCCTCTCTCTCTCTCACTCCCCCGTTTTCTTCCCCTCTCTCTCTCTCTCCCCCTCTCTCTCCCCCCTCTCTCTCTATCTCTCTCGAGTTACACAACCTTTAACTGCCTATATGCTGATTTGCATTTAATTTTTTCGTTGAAACACTCGAAGCCATGCTCTGTATTGATTTTCGTAATAAATATTCCATAGAGTGGTTCTTTGTTTCATGAATACAGAATCTTGGGTAGTTATTTATATTCTCTTTTATATAAACAATGCTATCAGGGATCAGACCATTTAAATGCTACACTGAATGGCGTACGCCCATCTTCTTTAGACCAGTTGGCACAGAACAATAGAACGTTAAACCCCATTTCATTTCATTTCAGGACAGTCTGATACATATATTTAAGAGACAGTGAAGGTGTTTAAGAGAACAGGGATACTGTGTTAACCGGTGGGTTTTAGTGCAATTATACAGGTAGCTTTGTTCTGGATGAGTTCCAATAATCGATCAGAGTCTGGATGTAATTAGAGAGTTGACAATTACAAAGTTAATATAAGGACGGATTTCCAACCTCGTGGGTTTACTTCGAGTACTCCGGTTTCCTCCCACACGCATGCGCATCGTGTGCTAAGCATAATAAAGTAAGACAACTTGTCTGCGATATGACCATCGGTGGAAGCGGAAGTTAAACAGTAGGCTAGGCTAGGCTAGGCTAGGCTAGGCTGCAAAGGCCCCTTTCCGTGCACGTCAACGTGTAAACGGAACCTTGGATTTTCGTTTCATCAGAAAGACTAGATATACGACTGTCCAACATCACTGACAAGGGGAAACCACCTCAAGGTACTTTCTATTAAACCAGTGCCTTACTCACTGAGCCACCTCGGACCGGTAAAGTAAAATAAAAAATCTCGTAATTTTTATTAGATTTTAAAGACATTTTATTTTTTAAATTTATATTAATGATAAAATGATTTCTAGAATATATCTGTATTTTAAGGATTGAAGAATTTTATTATGTCCGTGTGTGAAATATATAAATGGATATTTATCATTTTTGAAACTTTTTGTGAGAGTTCAAACTAAACATATAAAATATATATTTAATACTCAATAAACAATTAATTTATGATGGTTATCTTTAGTTATATATGACGTAGTGTTGATTCTATCCGGGATATAATTATATTACGTCAAACATAAGATGAAATATGAGACAGGCTAAACCATATTACTATTCATATATACATCAATAAAAACAAATTTTACAGTTATGAATCACTATTCATATATATTAATAAAAACAAATATCACAGTTATGAATCACTATTCATATACATCAACAAAAACAAATATCACAGTTACGAATTTTTTAAAATTAAAAATAAACGCATATAAATATTTAAAATATACAAATGAAGACGGGCATACGTAATATCCGATGTGCTATGAGGGGACTTTCCCCCGGACACCGGCACTACGGTATTACTCTTATATCGAATTAGAACTGCCAAGTTTTCTATAAAGTAATTATGTCTCTTTTGAAAAGTTTAACACTTGATGCTATTACACTGGTCTGGTAAACATTTGATGTATTCACTGGCAACGGTAAAAAATTTAATGTAATGTTATCAAAATACTACCACTTCAAGTAATAGAGGTCAATTAAGTTACGTTTGTCCGTAGCTGGACTTGATGATATCGGACAATTCATATCCAAGGCAGTTTAAAAAAAAGAGAAATGAATGTAAATGGGATTTTCTAGAGACAATCCTGACTAACAAACCTCCACATACTACCGACCTTCAAACAGAATATCATAGAGACCAGTCCATTAAAAACAACGTAAATTCAAGTCCTCCAACTACACGAGAACGTGGTCTTATCTTGCCGATGTGTTAGGGTATTGTCCACCACTATGATAATATCATACGTCTAATCGCTGACAACGAAGTGGTCCGATTGTAACATAAGCTCTTTCATCTATACCATCTACAATGTAAAACAAAATACGAGGATAAAATTATAACTTCTGGATGTTCTGTTATTCTTGGCGTTTATTATACAGCAAGTCAATTGTCTGAATATTGAACTATTTACATGGAAGTGTCTGTGGTTAGGGTCCGGCAAAACCCAGGAATCGACCAATAACACGATTGACATTGCTTAGTGCGTCTGATATTGATTATCTTGGTCTTCAGCCCGGTCTCCGACAGTTATCGACATCGATCATACATCGATAAGTAATATACACTCTGATTAAAAGACACATCTATATTTTGTTTCGTTTTTTATACTTTCAATGGACTACACTGCACACGACATGAAGATCTGACCGGTTCTAGCGGAAGGTCGCATCAGGGGTCGTACCAGCGGCTTCTGACCCTATGACGTCAGATATTGATTATTCAATCAGAATTAACGTTTCTAGTGGTTTACCCACAGTTGCGTAACAGATCATTTCATTGGCTAATTCCTCACTTTAACCAGAACACTGCTAATATAACAACTCTTCCAGATTCTAGTGTTGTGAAGACAAGTACAATGAAATGAAATTTAGAACTATAAAAAAACGAAACGAAATAGGATTCTGCTCGGACAGCGGTGCTACGACATAAGCCCACGTGTGATTACTACTAACCTCTTACAAGTTTCTTAGGAAACACTTGTCAGTAATATCACCTAAGGTGGACGCGGACGTTAACCCTTCAGAACGAATGAACGATTATAACTTTATGATGTTCTGGTATCCATGGCGTTTATTAGACAGTCAGTCGCAAATGTTCGGAATAATCAAGTATTGACACGGATTGTGGAATTGTCTGTGGTTAGGGTCTGGAAAAATCTATTGGTCGACCGATAACATTTATGTACCTTGCTTAAATATGTTCTATGTTAGATATAGATAAATAGCTGCGGGTTCTTGCTCAAATAGTTTAAATATAGACAATGAGAAATGAATATATTGATAAATTGAACCAACGCTTGACTAACCTCGGATACCAGTATCGCCGCCTTCAAAGGTAATCATTGGCAAAGCAGTGATGTTTGTAATGAAACCCGAATCTTCTCTCCAAACAGCGTCGTTTATTTGGCAATTACATTTCACACCCTGGGCATCACACGAGCCTTCAATACCACAAGCACATGCATCATTGTCAGTTCCATTCCCAGCAAAATATAATGCTCTTTGATGATGCATATTTATCCACGCTGCGTCTGAGCGTAACGCAGCAAAGCATTCATATCGAAGAAACTGCTCACAGTTGTCTGAATTTTGTTTGATGGCTTTAATGTGTTCCAATGAGACTGTGTAAATTAGATCAAGTTTATACGAATATGTCGGCTCGTAGTCGTCTATATATGTTCTATTTGTGGTATCGTGGCCTGTAATTAGATGTTACAATCATGATAAAAGGTTTTCGATCCCTAGGCTGGAATTGTAAGATAAAATAAATGATAAAAAGTTTTGGATTACTGGGCTAAAATTGTATGACATAATAAATCATAAAAAGCCTTTCGGTCCCTGGGTTAAAATTGTATCATACAATAAATCATAAAACCTTTTAGGATCCGTTACTCAAATGGCTGCTGTTCTGAACAACTTTGATTTAGGTCCAGGTAAAGTATTGAGAGAGAGAGAGAGAGAGAGATGGGGTTTAACGTCCACTCGACACAAACTAGCTCATTTCGGAATTAGGTCGTGTGGCTTTCATGGGACAATTCTAAATGAGTATTTCAACAGGATCACATTAACTGCAATATCTGCAGCATGTCGAAGAATACCTTCCTGGCTGGAACAATCATATTAGAGAGTACAGAACAATAACAATATGTTAGCATATAGGCTATGGAAAGACACGATCTGGATACCTTGCCGATATATGACGACCCACCAAAGCTCATTATTCTCTCAGGTCTTTGAAGTTGAATAGTGATCGCATTTTTTTTCAAATAACCATCTAAATATACTAAAAGTCATAAAGAACGCAATGCCTAATTCGTGAAATATTTCTGGTAAACGTTTTCTTGGCCTTTCCTATCTTATGGCACATAGGTGAAACTTTTGATGGGTTTCTTTTTGCTGGGTTCTCGGTAATGAACTTTGTTTGTGCAAACGTAACACTATTTTAAACTGTCCCATGTCACACATTTTGCACCTGCATTCCCTGCACTC